CGGACCAGCGTGCGCCACCAGGCAGGGAGCGCTCGCAGCCGAACCCCGACGTCTGGTGTGGATGGCAGGTCAGCGCGCCCCCCCAAACCACGAGTCACCCCAGCTCTGCAGGGGGGCATCACATCTTGCAAGAGCAGCAGCGAGGCGCTGTATCCCCCGTTGGCTTCCTCAGACGTAAACTCAGGCCACCCAAACGTACAAGGCAAAGTCTACCTTAGAGTTACTTACTCTAGGCCCAAAGAGGAGTAAACTTAGGCGATGACACGCTGTAAGTATCAGCCAACAGAGTTAGAAAAGAGAAGTCAATTCGAGGTGGAAAAAATAGCCAAACTCTCTCTGTGTAGTTGGTACCATAGTATACGATAAAATATCCTACATATTATAGAGATAGCAAGGTAGCAGGATGTAAGATTAACATTCAGAAATCAATAACCATAAACTTATGTAACCAGGTAGAGATACCCAATAATGTCGAGAAACCCATTTACAATAGCAACAAAGAAGATAAGGCACTTAGTTATAAATTTAACAGGAAATATTCAAAATCTGCAAGAGGAAAACATTAAAACACTCCTGAAAGACACAAACGTAGCTCTGAACAAATATAAATTGATATTTGAACAACAGCATAAATTCATCTGCTCTCCTGTTAATTTATAAATTTAATACAAGTCCAATAAAAATGCCAAAACACTTTTTTCTAGAGCCTAAATTGATACTAAAATTCATATGGAAGAATAAACATGTAAGAATAGCCAGGAATACCTGAAAAAGAAAAGCTACGAGCGAGATCTAGCTCTACCAAATATTAAGATATATTAGAAAGTCTACAATTTTCCTACAATGTTAGGGCTTTAAAAAGTCTCCAAGCCGGTCTCGGTGGCTCAGCCTGTAATCCCGCGCCTTTGGGAGGCTAGGTGAGTAGATTGCCTGAGCCCGTGGGTTCGAGACCCATTTGGGCAGGCGAGACCTCTTCTCTACAATAAATCAAAAAATTAGCAGGGCATGGTAGCACGTGCCTGTAGTTCCGACTACTCGGAAAGCTGAGGCGGAAGGATCGCTGGAGCCCAGCAGATCGAGGCTGCGGTGGCCGGGAGCAGCCACTGCACTCCAGTCTGGGCGACAGAGTGAGACTCCAACTCAAAAAAAAAAAAAAAAAAAGTGAGGGTCATGAAAGGCCAAGACTAAGAAAATATTCAAGATTAAAAGAGATCAAGAGAAGTTACAACTAAATGCAATGTGATCTGGTTCAATCAAATGAACCCTGGATCAGATTATATTATTTGCTATGAAGTCCTATTGGGATAATTGCTAAAATATTAATAAGGCTGTAGGTTAGATAACAGCATTATGTCAATGTTAATGACCTGATTTTTTAAAAAGAAATATTGCATTGTAGTTAGATAAGACAATGTCCTTGTTCTAGGGAAATGCACACTGAAGGGACATTATGTTTGCAACTTGGCTTACAAATGGTTTGGAGAAAATGTTTCAGGAAACAGACAGAAAGATAAGCAGATGCAGCAAAATGTTAATGATGAGGGAATCGGATGGAGTGAGTTCTTTGTACAGTACTATTCTCCTAACTTCTCTGTAAGTAGAAAATTGTTTCAAAATTTAAAAAACCAAGAAAAAAAACAAAGGAAAATAAAGGCATAGGACTTCTTTTATTGGCAGTATAGTGAGTTAGTTACTTTATAGGTCCTTCTACATAGAATAAAACAACTATACCCAGTTGATAAAAGTCTTTTTAATGCATGACCAAATTCACAGTAAGGGACATCTCCATTTCCACCCTAGCCACCCTTCTCCTCCAACCTCTCTCAAACCTGAGCTGAAACCAGAGCTGGAAATACAAAGTATCCAGAACTCATGGAATACAGAGTTGCTCTGAAGGCAAATGTCAATATCAGGACAGCAATCTACAAACAGACTAGGCCAGCAGCCAGGGGATGGGAACTCTGACTCTGACACTCTCACATTAATCTGAGACAGTAAAAGTAGATTAAAGGCAGTAGAACTCCTTGGCTACCAGCAGGAGCAAATACAAATCCCCTCTGGAAAGAAGCTCCTCCAACTTAGGCTGCCAGGATTCCATTACATTAAGATAAACAAACTCTGATTTCCCTCTCCCTCAAGGATTTTAGAAATTGGAACAATCAGATACAGACTATAAGGTATATATGAATGAATGCTTAAAGAAATTTTAAAAAGTACCAAAAACACACAAACAAACAAAATCCAGCTACCTGTAAGGTTGAGCCAGAAGGGTTGCCTGAACTCAGCAGGTCAAGGCTACAGTGACCGTGAGCGTGTTACAGCACTCCAGCCTGGGCAAGAGTAAGACTCTGACTCAAAAAAAAAAAAAAAAAAGAAAGAAAAACGAAATTAAAAAAATGTATTTCCTATAATAAGTTAA